GAATGGGAAAGATAAGGCATGCTTCCTAGTAGTTTTTGTCCCAATCAAATAAAAGCCCCGAAGAACAAAAAAACGTATATAACTCCCTGTAAGGTCATAGTTTCTGATGAAATGGTGTCTCAAACGAAAAAAAAGGAAAAGCAAAAAATACCTGTAACTCTGAAAATTAAAAAGTTCTTTGCAAAGTGTATAGGTTTGTAGAGCTCAGCAGTAAGCTATGATGGCTTTGACAATGTGATCTACGTATTTATGGGCCTGAATTTCTGTGCTGATGCTCTTTTCATTTATTTCACCTAGATAGGTAACCGTTGAAAATTCACTATGAATTCTAATATTCGCAGGTTTGTTTTTTGGAAAATTAAAGCTTGAACCAAAAAAAGAACCACAGGGCACTAACATCACTGCAGAAGGGGTGTGAAAGGTGTGGGTCCGTGCAGCTTCGTTTTTTCTATTCGTATGGGGAAGTTAGGACAGACAGTCGATCGGAAACAAATTCCACATTCCAGTGGACTCTCCAATGGAATGAGCTAGACAGAATGTCTGTGAGTGATTTCTGATTGCCAATTCAACAATGTTGGCACACCTGTCCAGCACCAGCCTTTTTTGAGATCTCGACCATCTTTTTTTGCTACCGTAGTCGTCATTAACAGTCATGAAAAATGACAAAAAAAACCTCTTGTAATTTTGGGAAGAATTGCAGTACTTTTTTGGGCGACACCTTCTTCGGCCCAGAATATGGCCCACAATTCCAAGTGACCAACAATTATGTAGAACGGACTCGTCGATGAGTATGTTCTTGCTGATGGTTTACTGCCACGTGACAAACTTGGAGGTAAATGAGGGATTTCAGTAAAGATCCAGCCCGGCAACTTCGATGGCGGATCCCAGAGGTCTGGACTGCATTGTGCAACAGTGCTGTACTCTCTCTAACTAGTGGATTATGTAGAACGGACTCGTCGGTGAGTATGTTCTTGCTGATGGTTTACTGTCTCTCCTCAGAAAGATTGAGGTTCCTATAATCTTCATACTACCAAGGCTTGGAACATTTCTGTTATGAATTTTCACCAAAACTTTGTGCACGCTTATATTTAAGAAGTATCCTTGTAGATGTGGCTGGCTGTGCCTCTGTGAGAATGCTCCTTCTTGGTCCGCCGACCCAATCTCACTGTGTAGTGAAAAACAGATGCCTAGTTGTTTTAACAGTTGTCACATAACCCCTCTCTCTGTCTAGAAGACCGGCTTGGGGACAGATCAGATGTGGGCCGGAAACTGCTTAACGACTTGTGTCCCAGAGAGTGAGCAATTTACTCCTGATCGGAGCTTCATATTCTCTCTAACACTGTAATACTAACAGCCACATCCACAGGCGGGGTGGGGGTGGGGGCGGAAAAAATAATAGTCACTCATCTTCCATATTTATGATGGAATAAGCACATTTCACTGGATTCAAGTCAAACGTTCTTATGGTCAATTCCACCAAGAAGCATCATAACAGCTTTCTACACCGACGACAAAAGATTTTCCCAAGAGGCGCAGCCAGAACTCATTGAGGTCCCTGAAGGAACGTGAGCCACGGCGGAGTTTTCTGGAGGGTTAGTAGGATGATTTTGCGAAGTCAAAGCTACCAACTCCAGGAAGCTAGCGTAAGTTAACCCTTGAAGACGCCATGAAGCAGCTTCAAGCTGGGGCGATAACGGTAGACCTCCTTGAACTCGGCGGGCATGGCACATTACGTAATGATGACATGTACTGAGGACGGCGAAGGCAATGGAGGTAGACCTGCTTCTGCATATGATGGGACATTTAAGGAATAGTTCGCTGTAGAATTCACATCACCTGACCAGGCGCCCTGAAAAGCTTGGTAATGTACGATATGGACAAGTAAGTATTTTTGCGCCCCCCCCCCCTTGTACACTAGTGCTAACATGGGTCCTAGATGGCCTAGCTAGATGAAGCAATCAACGCAATGCACATGAACATCTATGAGAATAAAATGTCACGGAATCGGTTATCAAGCAGCTAAGTTACTGTATCGTTTCTCGACTTTGCCAAGGAAGCATACTTTATATGGGGTAAACCTCAATTTTCATCTATGTGAAGTGAGCTCTGACACCAAAGAAAAAAATTCGTTTCGTTTCATCCCTTACTAACGTTTTGGGTATTGAATCACTTGATCACAAGCACAAATTCGTTTCGGGAGTGCTTCTACAATAATATAATAATTTTTTTTCTGAAAACGAGGTGGTTTTTTCGTGGCTGTAATAATTATCTGGAAGTATACCTGCTCAACGCGAAGCCTCAGCCACTACGGTACCAACCATTGTTAGCCATCTGAAGTCGTCAATGAATGGAAGGTTGCCAGCATGTTTGAACAGATGTGTGACCACCCACGGGCACGTCTCATGGCGGCGACTTATAAAAGGCGAAGTTCATCTCATCAATCAAGCTGCACCAATCAACCAGTTTCGATTGCTCTCAGTCTGATTTTGCCCTTGGGCTAATCCTCTTACCGCTTTTGTTTAGCAAAATTTTGAAACCAACCTTCTGTTGGAAAGATAGTATGTACTCACTTGAATCAGTTTTGAATCAGATTCATTGTTGGAAAGAAAGCAAATTAAATCCCTCGAGACTTCTCAAGATTTCCCATACAACCTTCTGACTGTCGATACTTGAAAACTTTACTGCAAGAAAACGACTTGTAAAATCACATTGAAAAATACATACGGTCCAAAGCCTTTCCATTTAGTGCCTACACCTGCTTCCAGGTAAATAATGCTGCGTGTTGTGGTCGCCTGCTTCGCCTTCGTGGCATCTGCTTCAGCTACTGCCTTCACTGACATGAACTGCACCAATGGAGATGCAGCAGCGCCGGCGGTTTGTCTAGCGGCTTACCTCATAGTAGAAAACGTCTTCAGTATGTATAAGTACGGATGCGAGTAGAGTGCAGGCGTTAGACCGTTAGCGTAAGTTGCAACTACGAAGCGAACTCAGAATCTGGGCTAGTCTAAGCACTCTTGTTGGTATGGCGTAAGGAAAAGAAAAAGATGCTGTTGCTCAGAACGACCAAAGACCAAGGCTCATTTTGAGGTTCCGTTCTACAGAAACATTTTTATTGAACCCTCTGCTGATCAATCACTTTGTGACTAAATCACAGCACGAATCGGGATTGAGTTAATTTCATTTATGTTTGTTTTGTTTTTTTGTTATCATTTTTGAAGAGTAGGCAAGAAGTGCAATAAGGACATTAGTGGTTAGAAAAGCAAAAAGTGTCATAGAGAATGCTAAAAATTCCCCTTGTGAAGGACTGGCTTCGGGACTTAATCACGACTTGTGGCTTTAAAAGAACCCGTAATCGAGAAAGAAAAAAAGAAGCACCGAAAAACAACATGGAAGTTAATATATTTGGTGGAAATGATTTGAATTTGCAGTTTCTCCCAACGGCAACGGTATGCGATGACAAGTACTCGACAGCCGCCTGCGCCTCACTTTTCGGTACAGCGGTCGTGCCGGAAGGAACCACAGACAGGGACGCGAAATGTCTGACGGTGAGGGATAGAGATGTAAAGTAGATGATTTCGCAACAAATTGTATGAATTATTCATCCAGGACGCAGATGTGAAAGAGATCGCCATTGCCAACTGCCCAAAAAGCTGTGGCTTTTGCTGCATGACTCCTGAGTACACGTGCAAAAACGCTGACTGTTCGTTCTGGGATTACCTTACATTGATAACATGAATTTACTACAACTAGTAGGTAATTCTTTTAGTTCCACGAGTGAAATGCTCCACTGTAACTCCAGCCCAGTGCAGAGATGCCACCTGGAGAACGATCCTTGCCGAAGACTGTCCAAATGTCTGCGGTTTCTGCCTTGAAGGTAAGTCGACTCTGAGTAGATCCTGAAGAGTTTTAAAATCTGGAGTTAGGTGGATGCGTCGATACGGTCATCGAATGCGAGAATGATCCCTCCATCTGCAGAAACATCGACATGCAGACTTTCGTTAAGGTAGTACTTTCATTCCAAAATGTGATCAAAATAATCTATAGGAGAACCTCGATGTGATTTTTAGGAAAACTGCAAGAAAACCTGTGGTTACTGTCCGGATTCAACTAGTGTATCAAGCGCCACCACAGGTGTCGTTTATCGAATATCTTCCTAAAAAAGTTCTTTTGAATTTCCTTAACTATTTATTTTAGCCTCGAGCGGGAGCGGATCTTGCCCCAATGCCGTTGATTCGAGCTCTAGGCAAGTTGTTTATTCGCTCATCCATTTAGGTAATTCAGAGGTCCTGTTTACAGTTGCGCGAGCTGGGTGAAAAATGGCTTCTGTACAAATACATTCTACACACTCGACCAGAGGAAGCAGTATTGTGGAAAATCGTGCAACCTCTGTTAAATGGCGAACTCGAGACCACCACACGCGGCAGAATCTCTGTAGATAGCACGACTCATTCTCCTTCGTCATTTGAAGCAGACTTGACCAATCTGTTCCATATTGATAAATCTATTCGATAATCTCTCTTCGATGAATTCCAGCTTAGATCGTTGATTACACAAGGCGGGAGGCGCTATTGAGGTCTCTCATGTTGAGGGTTCTTCCATCATGTGCACCAAGTAGCTCTGCAAGTTATGCAGCTGGTAGACTCGGCGATTGCCCAACCGTGGCAGCGTCGTGGCCGTTTGCTGCACAGTGGCCGAATAAGTCGCGTCGTTATTGGTCGGTGTGGTTTACATTGAACGCGTTGTCGCTGTCGCTGCCACGATTGCACAGTCGCCGAGTCTGACGCTCAGTTAACGCCGACGTCATAGTATGCGAATGAGCGAAGGACATCGGCCTAAAACTTTCAGATCTGCAGGAACACACAAGGCCGCGAACTGCTCCCTCTTGAAGACGATAAAGGCAGTACGATCAGGAGAGAGTACTACTTCCACACAACGTTTTATCCTAGGACTGCCTTTGACTTAGATCTGTGTTGTCTGGGTATTCGAAGCACGTAGTCATTGAGCGTAGCCTCAATAAGAGCGCACTCAGAAGCCGTCTGCGAAAAACATCGGCCCACGAAACGCCCTCCAGTTACCGTACGCGTACCTTTACACAAGAGTGTCGAATAGACGGGTTGCGGAAAACTGTAGCAGCGCTTGCGAACGTATATAATGCTTCGAGCGCAGAATAAAGGTAAAGGCGTGACGAAAGCTGATCAAAAAATGCATTAAAAGTTGAAGTTGAAGCCTAGCCACCCACCTATGGAATGTACCACGCACTCTACCTCCTTTCAGGACCCCAGCTGTACTAAAATGCAGTATGGCTTGCGCGACTTAGTGGAGTCTTCAGGTCAGCGTGGTTATACCCCGGACAGGACAGTACCAACTCTGAAAGTACGAGTATATGTAAAATGATACAGTGGGTCTCAAAAGCAGAGGGACACCGTATTTTTCTCCAATATTTCTATAACGGGCAAATGATTTCATTCCAAATTTTTATCAACAATGCACTATTACACCAGGGTACAAATATATGGTGAAATTGGAAAGAAAAATCTTGTAGATTTTTTATAATTTTTTTTCTAAAATCATGGCGTCCCAAAAGTATAGGGACACTTCGGCGTTCAAACTTCCCGAACGATATACTTATGAAATCAACAATAACAATAACAATTCAAAAGTAGTAACATTTCTTCTTCTTTCGATAACTTCAGTCATCCGCTTCGGCATGCTTTGGACAAGCCTTGAGATCGTTTCCGGCGATATCCGCTCTCAAGCCTCCTTGACGGCGTTTTTCTGCTTTTCGACGTTCTCGAACTGTCTGCAGTTGACGTAAATTTTTCGTTGGGTAAGTTTGGAAGCTTTATTGAGGCGAACGCGTGTGAGTTGGTTCAATATATCACGTATATTGTCCGGCTTGTGTGAGAAAAGCTATTTCAGGCCTGACGAAGGTGCTAAGCACCGAAATATTGCAAGTTTTTGGAAAGCTTTCGAGATTAAGTGTTTTGAAGCTTTTTGAAATAAATTTTGGAGCCTCAAATTGTTGTTTAACATTTAGATCCTTATGAGGCTTCGGGACAGCACCATACGGAGGTTTTGTGAATCTTAGAAGACAGTCGCTCTGGTATCTTCTTATCGCAGAGAACGCCGGTCATCGAGCGCCATTTGGACCAAGCTGCACTCACGCGGGAGTTTACTTCAGAGACCAGGCTGCCGTCGGACGCGATTGCCGATCCAAGATACTTGAATGTGTTGTACGTGTGAGCTCAGTACCATTGATCTTAATAGAGCCTAACTCACTCGAATCGGTGGTCAAGTACTCGGTCTTTTTGACGTTCAACCTGAGTCCGAACATCGCCAGGCGATCGGACCAAGCTTGCACTTGTTGCTCGAGTGAGTTTTTGTCTTCGCAGGCGAGCATCACGTCATCAGCATAAAGAAGCGTCCATGGAGCCGGCTTCTGAAGATCTCGTGAAATGGCATCCATGACGACAACAAATAGGAGTGGGGAAAGCGCAGAGCCTTGGTGTACCACAGAGATGGGAAAATTCCATCGAAGTACCTGCTGCCGTTTGCACTCGGCTCTTTGGACTCGAGTAAAGTATGCGCACCCACTCAATAAGCTCTTCGGGAACGTCGTGCTGTCGTAAAGCATACCATATAACTTCTCGAGGAACGCGATCAAAAGCCTCTCCAGGAAGGCAAGATGCACAGCTTTTCTTTTCTCGCGATGTCTTTCCAAGCAGAAGGCGGAGCGGCATGTATTGCATCGATGGTGCCGCAGCCTGACACAAATCCACACTGGTTGATGGAAAGCTGCACGATGTCACGAATACGGCCGTCTACAATTCGCTCAAAGATCTTCATGCTGTGCGAGAGCAGGCGAATTGGACGGTAGCTCGTGCAGTCAGCAGGGCTGCCTTTCTTCTTCCAGATCGGAATCGTTGTGCTCTGTTGCCAGCTCTCAGGCACCTTTCTCTCTGCTACGATCTGGTTGAAAAACTTGGTCAACCATTCAGCAGGACACCAGCATTTGACTTCCATATGTCGGCCGCCAGAATCATCGAGGCCTGAAGCTTTTCCTGATTTCGTCTTCTTCAGAGCCATTTTCGTTTCCTCCAAGGTTATTTCCTGCACAGGACCATGCATTAGCGAGACATAAAGGGACTGCCTGACATGATGCGTAATTGTAACTGCTGAGATGTACTCAAAGTAATCGTGCCATTGCTCCCCTGCTTTCTTGCGATTCATCAGGAGGTGACCATTCTCGTCGTTGATACCGAAAATTTTTCGATGACCTCGGACTATCAATGGCGGGCCTTAGCGAGGCGATGTATATAAAATAAAAAAAACATACGTTCACACATTCTCACGCGTCTCGAGTTTCCCACAGACATCAGCGTTTGCGGCAGCAAAGGTCTTCTCTGCCGCCTTCTACGCTGCCTGGTAACTCTTCATCGTCGTCCACTGTCTTATCGCCAAGAAAGTAAGGAAGAAAGATAAGGTCCCTTTTTCTCACGTTCTTTACCATCGTCCGTCCATAGCCACGCTTGCTTGTCGATCTTCCGTCGTCTACGTTTTTGTAATGCTCTGCATCTTGAAACGAGCAGAACGGATTATCGCCTCGGCAGCACTTTTCCAAGTTTCATCAACAGTAGTGACTGCCGGCAACTGAATGTTGGATATCACGACCGTCTCCTTCTCTTTCAAACGCCACCACTTGATTCTCGCTGGTCCACACCGCTCGATTTGTTTCAATTTCGGAGGAGCGATCTTCAGCGTGCAAATCAGCGGTCGATGTTGCGTGGTGACAGTCTCATACGGCACCGCCTTTCGCGTCCTGTTACGAGCCCTCGATCGCGTTGCCTGACGAGGACAAAATCGATTTGCGTTCTGGTAGTACCGCTGTAGAAGGTGATGAGGTGGGAGTCACGTTTTCGGAAATTTGTGTTCACGATGGTGAGATCGTGCGAATTTGCATACTCAAGAATTCGTTCGCCATCGGTGTTACGTGACCCATATCCAAATCCACCATGACAGTTGTAACCGTCTTTCGCAGCGCCGACGTGACCGTTAAGGTCACCTGCGACAATGACAGCCTCTTCTGACGGTACATCTGCGGTCTTTTCATCCAGCAGGGTCCAGAACTCGTCCTTGGCTCGCTCAGAGCAGCCAGTCTGCGGAGCATATGCAGAAAAGAAGTGGTATCGCTTACGTTCGATGACGACAACAATCTTCATTAGACGGTCGTCATAACGATCAACGCTTACGATCGAGTCACGGAAGCGGTCAGAAACAACTACTCCGACCCCTCTGGTGGTTCTAGGACCGCCACAGAGAACGGCTTTGAAGCCTCGTCCAATATCTCTCGATCTGCAGCAGGACCACCTCGTTTCCTGCACGGCACAGAAATCAATCCGTCGGCGCTCTAGAGCTTCTGCTAACTCGTACGAGCGGCCCGTTAACGTGCCAAGTACCCCCCCCCCCATCCCGATGCCGTCCTTGCACCGGAGACCCTCGCATACTTTTCACACTCGCCGGGCTTTGCGAGTGCGCGTCGGCTCCCGCGGACGCCGTAGCATTATCTCGGAAATCACATAGCGACATTAACATGTGATGTGACGTGGGTGTTCGTAGGCCGGCCTGTCACGGGGGCCTGTCGCCTGCATTCGAATGTCCGTGATCAGCTCAGCTCACAAAAGTGAGCAGTTCCCAGTGGCACCACTTGGAGGAACGGATTCCACCAACCATTAACAATAACCAAATCAACATAATAAAACAAAATCCACATTAACAAAAGCAAAATCAGTTAACAAAATTCAACAAAAACAACAATAAATGCGTAATCAACAAACGCTCTCGAACAGTCCTCTCTGCAACCGTGCCTTCATCCCAGGCTTCATTGATTCTACGAGCAGATGCAGAAGCATTCGGTTTCGAGCTCAACTTGCACTCATGTAGCAGGGGCAATCTTTTTTGCTAGTGTGTAAGCTCCATAGTGAAGTGAATACACAAGTGTTTTATACCAAAATGTATTAGGTGTTTCAGAAAGTTCTGTCGTTTTCCAACCCCTAATTTTAAATGCACGTATCTCGGCTTGGGACTAAACCTTTCGAGTTGATTAAAAAACCATTTGAAAGCGCGAATCTTTTTCTATAAGAAGCCGTTCAATTGCGTACGCTTGTTTGGAATGCTGGACCTCGAGTTTTTGATGATTTTTGACTTAATATAAAGATTGATTCTCCACTGTAACAGTTCCACCTGATACTGAAGAACATGGCCAGCCGCTGACCCCATGAAAGCTGCCACAACCCTCCTCCAGCACAGTTTAAATTCTGCAAAGTTTGTAGAGCTTCATCGCCGTCGATCTATTCAGCAAACCTTCGTGGACTATAGAGAAGAATCCGCTCTTTATTGTACGTCGCAAATCTGTAGAAAACGAGTCGCTTTTATCACATAAAACAAGCGACAATTTGATGGACGACCCTTCAAATTGGTGATTTGTCGCGGCACGCCCCTATCAAATTTTTTGGACTTTCCAGCTTCTTCCGTATAGCTTGGCTGTACAAACCATATACGCCCAGGTTGGGCAGAACCTCCTCTATGGTCTTACGCACGAGTGCTTCAATCAGAACTTTTGGCTAATCGGAGACACCGTCCGATATCCGACCACTACTCTCATCATATTCAAGGCTCTCGCCTTCGTTACAATAAATTTTTTAACTACTGCTGAGCACATTTATTGCAAATCTAGGCCAAAAGCATCGTTAATATCTTGAACTGTTCCCGCCACTTTCAGGTCTATTTAAAGCTAGAAAAAGAAAGTCATGCCAACTTGCTCATCGAGTATACCGCATTCAAAGCTTTGAAAAAGCTATAAGAAAATATTTTAGGACAAAGCTGAG